ACTGTGTGGGGATGGGAGAAGAATATTTACAAAACACCTGTAAACTTGGGAAAAAGCTACACATTCACACTGTTTATTGTGGACTGGAGTTTAGCTAAGTTCCCAACACAGCCTTCTGGTAAACCAGTAATCCTCATCATAAGCTATCAGACCTGAAGATAAGCAATGTCTGCTCCAGGAAAGGGTTGAACCAGTTAATTGGTACTCATGGTGGGCACTCCAGCAGGCATATTTGTTTTAAAGTACCTAATTTTTTTATTAGTCCTAATGTTCTTTATCTTCATTCTAATGCTTCTCACCACTTTCACCTCATTTGATATTATGAAGCTTCTCAGATTTTTTACTGTAACATTTCTCCACATAGTACCTCTTACATGGAGGTTTTATATTTTACCCTATTAGTTCACAGAAACTGCCTTGTAATTTTAAGGCCAGCCAATGGGTTTGGTTTTGGTACAACATATACTGACACTTGAGTTTTGAAGGCAGTTTTCATCAACAGGCGATGATGTGAAATAGGAGGAGAAAGTAGTATATGTAATTTTGTTTAAACTTCATCTAAATTTTGTTTAAATCCATGAATTCGAAAAATATTTAATAGATGGGAAGTGTTGAAACTGAAAAACTGAAATAAAGACAAAACTGAGAGACTCATGAGAACATAAAGAAAATAAGTTACACTAATAGAAAAGGGAGGTGGGGGAGAGATCCTCACCTTACCATAAAGAATTTGGATTATTTGAAAAATTTGACTGTTTTCAGAGGATTTGTCTAAGTCAAATGGGTGGATGGGGTCTAAATTATCTGCATCTATAGGCACTATACAGCAAAAGACTGAATAAGTGAGTTGTAAAAAAGTGAATAGTCTGCCTTAAGGGCTATGCAAACTACTACAGGATGAAGAATTTGCTACAGTCTAATCAGAGTGGATTTCAATGCTGCAGTAAAAATGAGCAAGATAAAAAGAAAGACAATGTTGTAGCCTATGCTAATCATAGAAATATAAAGGCTATGAATAAATAATAAAGGGGAAAATGAGAAATGAAATATAGAAGACGTTAATGGTGAAATGAAAATGTGTCTCAAAATGAACAGGGGAATCTTTGTAACTGAAAATAGCATTAATGTAGCCATGTTAAGCATCTATATCATATATCAGGTTAGACTTCCTGACTGATTTTTTGTGAGGTTCCAGTGCAGAAACACATGAGCCAAACTTCCCCTCTGTGTTCTGAACAGCACACAGTGCACACTTGATGCATTCTGAGCATTCCCTCCTAATATGCCATCCAAGGGAATGGAGAAAGGAAGTAGACGCTGACTGTTCACAACCTGAGTTTTATTAATACTTGCAGCATCACATTAAACATTGACATTCTGCAATCAAGATCAGTATTGCTGGGTTGGGGCTTTTTTCCTGCCTACATTCGACAAGTTGACATTTCTTTTTCCACTTCTGTGGGTTTTTTTTGTTTGCTTTTTTTTTAAGCATAATATCTGTAGAAATTTCCATTCCACTCTTGCTTTTGGAAGATTGCTATCCCAGGTAGTCTGTTGTTTTATGAAACTGTTTGTGTTACAAAAATATATAACTTTCAGTCTTTTATATTGAAAATCATATTATGCTATAATTTAATGATGTTAGAAGTTTTGTATTCAAGCCATATAATTCTTTAGGTACTGCTCTCTTGATGCCTTTGTAAACAGTAGCATCTATAATTTTCCGATACACTTGAGCAACAATTGCATTTGATACTATCTCAATATCTCAGGTGGGGTTTTGTCAACACTATTCATGGAATTAATTTTTAGGAATCTCCCTAGAACTAAGTATGCCAAATAAGCATGGAAGCAAATATCCATTGTAGAAGAACTCCAGATGCTTCTATCATTATGTTTGGCTGGTGTCAAAAATACAAGACAATTTCTACTTTTATTTAAAATCCAATTTTAATAATACCCTCAGGGGTTTTTAATCTTTCTATAACATATTTGGTCTGCTCTACAGCAGTCTATTGAATAAAATTTTAGACAACAAATTTATTTTCATGAGCACTGATATTTTCCTCAAAAACTACCATACATAGTTTACATTCCCATTTCAATTCTATGAATATTATGAACTCTGCAAATTTCTTCCAAATTTATTAATGACACTCCTGCCCACTGAACTCTTTTAAGCTTATTTTAATGGGTTTCTTATTTCTTGTAGACATTTCTGCCACTCAAACTACTATCTGTAGTAATACACAGATTCTTCTAAGTCCTGCTTTATCTCAGCTGCAATATTATCTCATTCTTTTCCTACATTACAGCTAATTTCAAACTAAAAGTGCCTTTTTGTGATATTTCATTTCCGACTCCATTAGAAAATCTTCAGTGAGAGAATGATAGTGTAAAAGAAACTGAAATACATTTCAGTATAATGTGATACTATACTGACTTCATCTCAGGTCATGAGAACTGAAGAGAGTGTAAAAAATATAGAAAACTATCAAAACTGGCCACGGTCCTAAATATCTCTGTGCGAAACAGACTTAGCATATGTATTTATAAAAGAAGGAGGGAGGGAGCTAACTAACAGAAAAATTATCTGTTGTGTGGCAAGCAAAATTATGAATGATGGAGAGAAATCTGGTGTCAGAAAATTATTATAAAAAGAAAAATTCAGTATTCATTGTAATAGAACAGAAGAACTGAAAATGTCCTTTAATGCTTTCAAAGCATAATAAATGGTGCACTGCAGACTCATTTCCTATCAATAATGAAGTCTGAGTTGCCAAAGAAACAAGCATTTTTTATATAGAGGGAATATAGCAGAGAATGCCACTTGCTGAATAAACTAGGAATTTGCCATGAATCTACAATATAAAAAAGAAGATAGCAAACATGCTCTACATATTCATGAAATAGTATCTGTAGGACTACCCCAAGTTAATACATGAGTAAATCTGCAAATTCATCCCAGAAACTGTTTATGAAGAAGTAATAGCTGCTTTGTAGAGTCTTTAGATTTCAAAAGTAGCAGGGAAAAGAGCTAAATCTCATATTTGCAAAGGAGTTTTTCCAGGCTATTAATAAGACATTAGCTCCAATGAAGAGCTTAGAAACATCAATGAGCATTGCATTCTGCTTCCTTCCCTTGTTAAAGGACATGAATATGTAATACAGAAATTGGAGGATACTTAACATTAGCAACATTAATTGTAGCATTAGAGAATTTGGCATCTTAGGAATTCAGAATAATTTACAAACATGAATTCATGTAACTTTGTTCTGAAGTAACTGCTGTTAGTATTTACTATTATGAATGGAAGATTCATGGAACGCAGATGACATTTCCAAAACCAGCAGTCAGCATAATTAGTAAGAGATACAACAGTTCTCCGACTAAACAGGGACCATTAAACTTCCCTTTTTGCTAACATAATAATTATCTTGACATTCTAAATGAAATAAACCATTCAGTAAGTCAATATGGCCACAAGCAAGAAATTCAGATCAAAAATACTGGCTGAGAAAAGTATGTAAGTGGATTGAAGAGAAACCTCTTCTGACTGCATTCAGTGCAAGACTATATCATAAAACAAAATTTAATAAACCCAAATATAAAATAATTATGAGAAGTTATTGAGATTCTCACCTGTAAAAAGGGAAAGCAGATGGAGCACCAGGAAAAGTAAGCAACTCTATTAAAACACTGAGAATACATCCAATACTATTAAGGCAGTCATTGCTCTTTCTTGTGTTCTTGCCTGTGCGCTATTTTCCTACACACTACAGCTTCCCCACCATCAGCCTGTGCCAATGTTCAGTGAATCAGATAGTGAAAGTGATCCAACTATATTTTTCAGTAAAACATAAAACTTCACATGACCCAAACATGGTTGCACTTCAGTTGGACCAGCTCTTTTACCCAGCTCACTGTTTGAGCTCACCATTACCCTCAGCTGGACAACACATGCAGAAGTGAGAAACATGATCAGACAGAACCACACCAAGTATCTCACTGTGGCCTCTCACCTATCTCTCATCTCCCACTCCCCAAAGCCTGCTGGCTCTTGGTTATATCTACTGAGAAAAACTAAAACCGCAACCAACTCCATTTGGGCAGTTCTGGCAGCTCAAAGCAATCTGAATTGGTCACATCTTCATCTTTGGGCCAAACCCTGAAGTGTATCCATGCCACTTTGAGGTGGCTGATAGCAACACCACCAAGCCTAGTGGGTCATATAAGCTGTGCAAGTGTATGCCTGGGTAGAGCTGCACTGCTCTGATTGACCTGCCTACACTTTCTCTGAAGGAGAAAACACTTATGACTGTTTGTTTCACATCTCATCTTGCTGCGAGATTTAATTTCCTTATGTGTAGGTCAAATCCCTGAACCTTCTAAAGAGAATCAATCTGAACAGTAAGGAAGTAAGAAACTCTTTTGTAATGTATATCACACATAACTCATTGCTGAGCATCCTAAAATCCCTTTTATTCCCCATTAAAAAAAAACTCGAGGCTAGTAAACCACAGGATGAGTTCACATCTGGGGAAAAAATTTATAGGAAACCTCTCCAATGGAAAAACTTGTTTAAGACTTTAACCGTGTAAGATCTGTACAAGGCCCCTGAAATTAAAATAGTAGATATATACATCTTGAAATATCTAATCATCACCTGAAAATTTGATCCTACAGATTGTTTAACTGGACTCTGGGGTCAAGATAGTTTTAGGAAGTACCACAGAAATGGAACTACAAACCTATTACTGTTTGTTAGCACAACTATAAGCATGATCCTCTGTGTTATATGGAAGAAAATACCTATCATCAAAATTATATCATTTTGGCTAATTCATAAAATTGATACAAACACTGCTATCTACACACACTGCTCTGCAACAAATACAGCTTCTCTTAGGAACAGAACTTCTAAAACAGACAATCTAAATCTAAATCATAGAGGCAAATTGTGTCTGATTAATTTTTTATTATTTCAAGTAGTTACAGCAGTCGCAGAGAAGTTATTGGCAGTAACATCCAGAAATTATCAAATCACAAAGGCGATGATTTAAAAAGTGGAGTGTGCAGATGTGCTTTTCTTATGAACATAATAACATCCTCTGTAGCTGAGCAACCTCTAAACTGTAGGCTTGGAGAGGGAAAAACTATAAAGATCAGGAACAATAACATGAAAAATTAATTGTGCACAAAATGTATGTTTTTAAGATAGTTACATCTACTGTACCTCTAATAGTTGAATGGAGTCAACAGCTTATTGAGGAAGAGAAAAATTAATTTGTCATAAAATATGGCCATAGAAATATGTCTTGAATCAGAGACACATAAAAAAACCAAACTTACTGCTCAGTCATACAGCAAGTGCTTTTACTTCCAGTCTTGCATCAGCTGTGGTCTGTAGCGATATCTCATAAATGTCCTTGAAAATGTACAAAAAGAAAGCACTTGAATAACTTTCTTCAGCCTTTGGGGGTAAATTCAGAAACGTCCATCTAAAGGTGCTGAAGCTGATTAGCACCTTCAGAAAGAAATCCACCAGCTTCTCCCTCAACCAGTTAATCCTTTTACCTTGCTTTAATTATTATCATAATTTTTAGACATACCACAGAATATGCTGAGCTCTAAGGGACCCACAAGGATCATCCTGCACAGGACACCTCAAAGAATTACACCATGCACCTGAGAGGGTTGTCCAGACAACTTCTTGAACTCTGTCAGGCTTTGTGTTATGACCACTTCCCTGTGGAGCCTGTTCCAGCACCCAACCACCCTCTGGGTGAAGAAACTTTTTCTAATACCCAACCTAAACCTCCCCTGACACAGCTTCAGTCTATTCCCTCAGGTCCTGTCACTGGTCACCACAGAGAAGAGATCAGTGTCTTCCCCTCCTCTTCAGTGTAGACAGATGCATAACCAGCTCTAATTTAATTTATTTCACTATCTCATGTATGTGTATAATCTGTAATTTAAATCAATAAACATTTATTAAGCAGATTGTCTATTGAGTCACAGATGCTCTTGCTGCAGTCCATTACGCCAGCTCATGTTCCAGAGTGCCCAGTGAGGGCTGGGAGGATAAGGCACAGAAAAGTGATAAATGTCTAATGCCTCCAGCTCTTCAAGGAGGAAAGGAAAAAGTATTGCAGTGCTTGAACATTCAGTGTAGCAGTGTCAGTAAGCAGTGGGACTGCAACTCCACACTGGAATGCTTTATTTGAAGTAATTTTTGATATTAGTTAAAAAGGAATCTAAAACAATCAACAGAGCACTGCAAGACCAAAACTACTTCACAAGAAGAGTCCACAAAGCCTCAGAGAACTGAGATGTTGCTCTGAAACTGTAAATGCAATGCTACATTGATAGTCAGTGACAGGACTGGCAACACAGAAATATCATATGCAAACTTCAGATGTATCAGAATAGTTCATCATTTATTCATATCACATTAAAAGTTAACATGAAACCTAATGACTTCTTTAAGATGACTGCTTTTACAGATACAAAGGAAATGAGTATTGTACTCACTCTAAATAGGGTACTTAAATTTCCTGTAATGAATAAAAGCAGACAGGAGAGCAATAGAAACAAGCCCTACATCTACATCTACAGACTGTAGATGAAAAAAATGTAATTACATCCAAGATGATTATTTAACTAAAAATCATATGGATTAAGAATATCATAAAAACTACAAGATTTCACTGCATATGAATATGAGTTTCTGTGAAAGCACCTAGGGAGAGCTCAAAATAAACTGCATTTAAATTTAAAAAAAACAAGAAAATTCCTTCAGGGCAGCATTTATCCCTTGAGGCCATAACACACAATTTAATTCATTGCTCTTTTAAAAAAATTGCATGTTCTAGATGTTCCAGGCCATATATTCCACAGGAAAAGATGAACAAGCTTTGTCTGTAATGATGCAGTTAATCTTTAAGATATTAGGAGTTTTCCAGAGTTCTTGGTACTTTTGTCCAGCTGGTATCCTAGGTAAATATCTTACAGTTATTAGAAAGATAGTCATCTGCAAATTATTTGGATTATTACTTGTGAACCCCCAAAATCTGGCCACTTAAACTGCTCAGAAGAGAAAGGAGTGCCCACCATAGAGGCCAACACTTAACATTCCTACACAGTACTGGTTCTCTTCCTCCTAACACAGTGACTCACATTAAGCTTTGCATCAATAGGTGAGGCTCAGAACTCCCAAACTGAGGTCCTGCAGTGAGACTTTGACAAGGAAAAATGACAGAAGTTAGCCATTGTTGAAAAGGTGCAATGTTACTGGCACTAGCAAGCCTGAAGGAATTACCTGAACCTTTACCCTGGCAGAGTAAGGGGATGGAGCCCCAGGAAAGAACCTACCCCTTCACAAGGTCATCCAACAGAACACTCAAGACATTTCACGACATTTCACTCCTGACAGGTGAAGTTTGGCAGATGGGGAGCAGAAAAGGTGACATGAAGCAGGCTTAGCTAGACAGTTACCCCTTGAGTTCAGATCAAATCCATAGACTACTCCAACCTCCCAGGCTAAGCACTTTTCTTCCCCTTGCATATAAAACATTGCTGGTTTTTTCTCCATTGTTCCTTGCCTCTCTAAATGTGCTTAGGTTTATATTTTTATTTTGTATGTAGGGTTCTTCTAAGCAGAGAAGCAGTACTGCTAAAAGCACTCTCAGAACCCAGTCAGGAGACATTTGAATTTGTGGTAGGGTACAGATTTAAAGAAAAAAAAACAACAAAAACCAACTCAAACATGAATATAAATAACATATTTCTAAAGAGAAAATACTGATGTCCTTTTACACTTAAATCTAAAATGCTACATTTCAACAACATAATGTTTGTGACAAACATAATTCTCAAATTTAGATAGCATGACATAATTATAAATAAAGATATTAGCTAGTCCTTGAGGATACTCCATTAGTCCCTTCTTTTTGCATATTTAAATTGTATTCAACTATCCAGCTAAGTTATTGCACCCAAGTGTATCATAAAGTATAGTTTGTGCAGTGTCATTAACACATAATGAACACAAGAAATCATTCTTTGCATGGATACTAAACAAACAGAGGAATAAGATCATCTCCTGCCACCATACAAATGTTTCTTAACTGTTCAACAGCTGCAGCACTCTAGTGGGAGACGCTGTGAATTTAAAATCGAACATTCTTCTAGCCCCTGGTCCCAGAAATGCCTTCAGGTAAACTGAAGAGACAAGGAAAGACATACAGTCTCAATCCTGAAGGCTGATGATTTGCTCACAAAGAGAGACTACATTGCATACTAACCTGTGTGAAACACACAATGCAAAACATGCTTTGTGAGCATTCCTGACTGCAAAGAACCCTAATTTAATCTAAGCAAGATTACATCCTCTCTTACTGACAGACATGCAAAGAGCATATCTACCTGCCCCTCAGCAGCACACAGGACAGCCAGCCTGCAGCTATCTCCAGCAAAGCTGATACATGCACATGACATAACAAAGAGCTAGGAACCATCTCAGCCTAAAGGGAGCATAGCTACATCCATGTCATTGCTTCCATTTCTGAAGCCAGCATGGGCACCTCTCTGCTATGCATTTTGGACATGTGCTCTGAAATTACCTGTAAAAGAGGCTAGGGTAAAGAGAGAACTTAAAACAAATTGCAAAGATGAATATATTTCTTTTTATTTTTTCAGCAATTCTCCCTTGTAGACAAGTCCTGCTATTCCACAGGGCACATTTAAATTATGGTTTGCATTAAACAGCCATGCAATTGAGTGCAGAAATCTGAAAAGCTTATATCAACAAAAAGACTAATGTCATATGGACAAAGAACCAAGAGACTTTAGTATTTTTCAAGCTTTTGAGGACTTGGGGGTTTGCTTCTTCTCCTTCCCCACTCAAAACCAGTAACATACAGTAACAGTCTAGCAGATTTTAACACAGGTTCCTCTATTGTCTAAATCTAGTTCATGAAGAATAAGGAGTCATAATCTTAAGTGAAGACAGTAAATTAACAAAGATTTTCTGATAATATCACATGCATTTCAACTTTATTGATTGAACACAAGTCTGTGTCAGGTAACAGAGTTTAGAAGCTGTCCACACGGTGGGAAGAACTTTAGTTGTAACTTACACCATACTTCATGCAACCCATAAGGACACAGTACCAAGAAGAATTCTCACAGCAACATAGCCAAGAGAAATCAAACTTCTTGGAGCATTTGTAACTGATTGACATAAAGTAAACAACAGTATCAAGGAAGATCTTTCAAAGCTAAGCGGGAACTTGAGAAGAAACAAAGACCAAATTCAAGGATTTTCATTTTGAGGAGCTCTGCTCATTCATTCTGTTTTACCTGAAAAATAAGACAAGGAAAATGTCTCACACCATTTATCAGTTAGATAGATCAAGAAGGCATGTGAGTTATACATCTCTGAAGAGTGAACACTTTCCTACAGTCTGTCTGGTTGTAGTTTATTTATATGTTCTGGAAAGGAAAGCTGTCAAGTTCCCTTATGTGCACTTTGAATATCCTTTGCAAGAGATTTATGCTCTCTTTCCAAGGGCGGCCATAGTAAAGCAGGGACCCACACACTGAATGTTGTTCAGAGTACTGAGTTCTTGCACTACTGTGTTAAATATAAAATCCCAAGCAACCCATGTTTCTGAAGAGCACTGATTTTTGCAAGATCTCCAGTTCTACAATTCTGGTCCAAAGAGAACCAAAGCCACCTTAGTACAGGTCTTGTGAACAGTGGCTAAATAGTGGGGTTAACCCACAACACAGGTCTCATCAAGTTTCAGATTCTGAAAGAGATTCTGGAAAGCAGAAATCTCAAGAGTGTTTGGGAAATCCCACACTTATTTTTTTCTCCTCTTCCTTTCTGATAGAAATTATGATTTTTAGTTTGAATAACCCATTTAAAAATAGCAACAGTAGTACCTATCCCACCTATTCTCCATTTAATTTATAGAAAAAAATACTGAGTATAAATAACAATTTTTCACCTGCACACCCCCTCATTTCCTTCAGTTTGAAAATATCAAAAATTATATGCTATTTCCATCAAGAATCCAAAATACCTTCAGCACTATACATTATTTTCTATTTAAGTGAAAAAGAGGAAAGTGCACAGCAATGCAGACTAACAGAGAGGGAGGTAGTGGAGACTGAGACAGGGAAAACTTGCTCTATTGTTTTTGAAGAATTTCAGCATGAAAGCCAGCAACTAATAATGATGTGACTGTTTTCCCACTCCCCCTCCTCCCAGTGAGATGGTGAGGAGAATCAGGAAAAAAAGGTAAAACCTCTGGGTTGACATAAGAACGGCTTTATAATTGAAACAAAGTAAAATATAATAATAGTAATAAAAATAACAAAAATTTTAATAAAAAATAAGAGAGAGAGAGAAATAAAAGCTAAGAAGAGCAAGTGATGCACAATACAATTGCTCACCACCCACTCACCGCCATGTCAGGCCCATTTCAGGTAACTTCCCCAGTTTACTCTGGAAATGACATTTGATAGTATGGGCTATCAATCTGACCTTTTTGGATCAGCTATCCCAGCTATGTTCCCTTCCAGATTCTTGTTCATCTCCTCACTGGCAGAGTGTGAGACCCTGAAAAGTCCCTACTAAGCACCAACCAAAGTATCAGTGTGTTACTGACATTATACTGAATGCAAAACAAAGTGCTGTACCAGCTACTGAGAAGAAAATGAGCTCTACCCCAGCTGAAAGGAAGACAGAGGTTACTGGGGCTTTGCCAGTTAGTACATGGAGAGAACCACATTCATACTTGAGTAGCTAGCTTGATATAGCTGACCAAGAAAAGCTATTAATAAAATGTGCCACAAAGTTACTTGTTTCATTAACAGATTTCAAGTTTGTCTGCCTAAATAAAGCTCCTCTCATGCAGCAGTGTACTGGGGGTGAGTATTCAAGACCAATCAAATCTGAGACCCATAAAGTGCTTAGTATCATCAATGCAACCTCAGAACCAACAGTAAGAGTGTTCTGTATCACAAGCTAGTGGAAAAAATCTTGAGGTTATAAACACAAGATGCCTCTATTTAATTCATCCCATATTCAGGAAAACAGATTCCATAAATAAGGTGACATCAAGAAAATACATCCAATTTCTTCTTGTAATTGAAACAAGCTTGAATGTTGTGCTGCCCAGGTCAACAAATGATAATAGTAATATTGCCTATAACACTTTCTATTTTGTGTTACAACTTCTGAGGAGCAAATCCCATCATGGTGAATGTTGACAACACTTGAGATTGCAACTAAAGAGGTCTGAGCCCAAGGAGAAATTACTGCAAGTTTGTTCTATTTGGCTTTAGCATGGTTCACTATTAAAATAGAATACTATATGCCTAGAGAAGTTGTGGATGTCCCAGCCCTGGAAGTGTTCAAGGCCAGGTTAGATGGAGCTCTGAGCAACCTATCAGTGAAAGGTGTCCTTGCCCTCGGCAAAGGGGTTGGAACTAGATGATTTGTAATGTCCCTTCCAACCCAGACTGTTCTATGGTTCTGTAATTCTATCTGTACCTAGAAATTCAATTACACATCTGTAAAATGAACACAGATACAGCTAAGAGACCTTGGAAGGAGAAAGCATAATCCAGAGGATGACACTGCATCACATCTCATTAAGTAACAGTAACATCTACCGCCAAATACCTAGTCTGTTCTTTTACTAATTTTCTGAAGTAGTAAGCACAGGCATACAGTACAGAAGATAAATGCAGTACAGGCAAATCTGAACTGAGCAGAATTTAACGTTGAACACCAGAGGTTTTCATAAAGAAAAGAGGTCTTCTAAGTACAGGGCTTCCTTTCTCATGATGAAGTATTTAGATAGGATTAAAGTTTTTAAGATGACTTTGGTTACCACAAGGCTATGCAAACCTTTCACTTGAAGGAAAATGTCATTACCTTTGAGGGCTGGAGTAATTACAATATATTTGCTCTGCTGATTGGCCAGCAACCTCTTCTTCAACTTCTGAATTTGGAACACAGAGAAAGCTTTGAATGAACTGAGTGAAGGTCCATACAGTAATCTGATCTTCTAAGAAATACAGCCCCAACACTACTGAAAACTTAATTAATACACATTTGAATTTTTATAGACTCTGCTATTTCTGCTATTTCCCTCTTTTGCTTTCACCTTCTGTGACCCTTTAGGAGACCAAGCTTCAGTGTCACCTGAAAGAGTGAAGATTATTG